CTGACATCACTCAGAGGGATCGTTGTCACAGACCCGAATGATGAGAAGTCTGAACGTAAATTTCACCAGTGTTTCCGAAAAAAAAAACTGAGCGGATAAGCTACAGCATACAAGAATCGCACAATCTAACACGCTCAAAAGACGCGAAAGACAAAAGACTCGAATTAACAACACGGAAACAGACCATATCTGTCGACCACCATGGAATAAGGATCAACCCAGCCAGACCCACCACTGCTCACCCTTTTCCCTTCGCCTTCGCTCCGCTCTGCGAGTCGGTGTCGTCTCCCGACTCGCCGTCGGCCGTGCCGTCCTCCTCTGCCCAGCGCAGGGTGTAGTGTTTGCCCAGCGGAGGAGCGCTGAGGTATTCCTCCATGTCCTCCTCCTCGGCACTGAGACGCTCCAGCATCTGAGCAGGAGCGGCGAACAGTCAGACCGCTGGGGATCGTCACAACGGGAGCGGACTACCGAAACTCTACGGTCGTACGGAGATCACTCAGTATGAAAATTTGAATGAACAAAGTTATGTTATCGTTAAGTTATATGTTAAATTGTATTGTCAAGTTAGGTAGAAATAATGTCTTGGTATCACCTCTTCAAAAGGTTGGGACTAAATTTTGAAAAAGTGACGATAATTTGGGCTCCCGGCTTTAAATGCGCATGTGTCCAAAATTTATTGATTTTTGATGTCTTTAACATGATGGGTAGCTATTGAAAAGTTGAGCAACAAACTTTCCGTCGTTTTCAAAGAAAAAAATCGCAGACAGTTACCTCCACGTCTTTGGCAGTGATGGGTCCGCAGTACTGCTCCATCGCCGCCCAGAACTTGTTGGGCACGTCATTCTTGACGGGCGGCGAGGGCAGGCACGGGTCGGCCTTGATTTGCGGCAGGATGTCTGCACTGTGTTCCGGAGGATGACTCGGCTGTGGAAACCAGCAAGGACACGGTTCGGTTAGCGATGCTTATTTTTTGTTCACCAGCTGATCAATAAGTGTAAGCGCATTTGCCAGGGACTACAAACATCACTTTAAGATAAACTTTGTTGAAACGCATAGCTTAAACGTATCAAGATTTGATGTGAGTTGTCGATAGCACATAAGAAGGACACGGACAGAACAATGACAGCTGTTTTCGTACATACCCCGGATGAGATGCGGATTTTGGTCGGTTTCAGCGGTGTGGCGTCCTTGGCGCGGCCCAGCGAGTCCTTGAACTTCTTCGCGGGCCGGTCCACGCTCCTACTGAGCTTCCCAGGAGAGCTGGGCGCCACCTGAAACAACTCACGTGAGCTGGCTATCGAAGGGCTAATACTAGGTAGGTAACTTACAGGATATATGGTTGCTTGCAGCCCCCGTTCACGAGCTCCAGAATTCCTTTACCGTGACGTCACCACGGCGGCAGAATCTCCATTACCCATAGGCATGCATGCAAATTTCATCATTTTTCGGGCGAGTTGGAGAAAAGATCAAGGCTTATATGTCATCAAAAGATGTACCAATGTAACAATGAATTCGCCTCATTACGATAAATGGGACTGAAACTAAAAAGTAGGACCATATCGAGCCAAAATCTGCAACTCAAATGACCCATTCATTTGAATGTGAAGGATTTCCTCTGATTACGTCACCACGGCGCCTTTATTTCCCTAGTGAACCAACCTGAGTAGTAAAGGAATCTTGGTTGCTTGTACCTACTAGGTGCAGTAGTCAGTAGGTAATCACACCGCCTTTTGTCCCTTATGGTAATGAAGCATAAAATTAAAGTTTCGTAATAAAAAACAATATTGCTGAATCAATAACCACCAACGAATTGAAACACCAGGAATGATCGCACTGTATCGAAAATCATCGCACCGAACTAGAAAAAATGGCACCGTACCGTGGTGATGGGCCTGCTGCGTCTCTTGTCGAGGCTGTTGATGAGTTTTATTTCGGCGCTGAGAGTCTTGCGTCTGATGGTGGCCGCAGAGAGCAGGGCCTCCAGCTCGAGCTGAATCCGATCCACGTCCTCCATCGAAATGGAGCCGTCGGGACGCGACACCACTGGACAGAAAATACACACTCAATAAGATAGCTAGCAGTGGTGTCGAAGTGGAATGTGTGAGAGCTGTCAGGATATGACACCGTATTTATCGTATTTGACACCTCATACCCGTATTTACGCAGTACGCACATTACCGTGACCACGTGATTACATGGAAGCAAGATGGATGCCCGATACATATGCTATTAACCCTCGCACTTAATGGACCCCTTCCCTCGTTTTTTTTTTCGCGAATACTCGCGCAAAAAGCGGCCGATCACGACGAAACTTTCAGTACCCTCGATTTAATCAATTTTACTCCTACCCTAAAAATTTCATGATCCTGACCCAAATGACCTTTGACCTGTTTCTCGAGAGCTAGGCGTATGTCAGTCAGCTCGCATTATCCGCACGTTTCGTCTTTTTGTGGTTGTAAACGTTCAAACATGTGTAATGATGTTGGTCCCATGTATTATGGTGGATGTCAAAGGTCACATGAAGGTCAGGTCAGTCATTGACCTTTGATAACCTTGGTTAACTTTTCCGAATTTTAAATGTTCCCAGGGTAGTTTTTGCACCTGATTTCGAATTTCGCACCCATCTGGACATCCACTAAGTCAAAATGTTGGCTTACCAGCTGTGTATTTTGGGAGTGAGAACTCATGGTCTATGGCCAGCACTTCTGGAAAGTTCAAAGCACAGTGATCAAGCTTAATGGGAACTTCATTTTCATCTTTTGACTTGCTGTGTTCCTTTCCTTTTGAAGTCTTCTGGTGTTTTGGTTTTGGAGCCATTTTCTGAAAAAGTAGATTTCACGATTGTGAGACTCAGATAGAAACCACTAAATGGGACTTAAATATTAGGTACCTAGGTATAGGTACCCAACCTGTTCTAGAGGATAACAACTTAATTCCCGAACAAAGTTTCCCACAAACATAAGCCCAAATTATCATCACAACTGATTATCAGTTCAGTTGGGGAAACTACGAGGCGAATGTCAAAAAATGGATTGGTCAATAAATGGACTTTTGATGACCATATATGGGCATAAATGCAGCCCCCGCTACTAAGGGTGAAAAACGGTATAACAAGCCGGTATTTGTGGTATCGCGTCCACTTATTGGAGAGAAAAGGCTTCCATTTTTCACTAGGAATTAGTGTGATTTGATTAAATTCGGCGAATTGACTCGAAAATGGCGATAGGAAAACGGTTTTTTTTGCAGGTTCTGGGCGTCACAATCAGCTGGCCATTCAATAAATGGATTGGTTTTATGAAGGAAAATTGTTAAAGGATTTAATTTAATTACAATAAACAAAAATATTAATTCTAAAATAATAACTAAACTACAATTAGAAAAACCATAAACAAATAATAAAAATAATGACATTTTTAAACCACGGTACTGCTTACATTTTTGGCGCGTCTGTTTCAATCCGCCATATTTGCCAATCACGGTTTGACCTTGCGTTGTAACTCTGCGATTTAGAGCCGCCAGTTAATTATGCACCGGGTGAGTGTAGGTCTTGTGTGGTTAAAAAACATTCTTATGCCTTATTTTTTCATTTGAATGCTAAAATTCATTGAAAAGATGAAGTTGTCTGATTTTATGACCATATATGGTCATCGCCCCGCCCACTCCAGCCGCTGATTGGCTAATCCATTTTTTTTTGGCTCCTCGTAGTTTCCCCAACTGAGTTGGGAATGTAGTGATGCATCATAGCCAGCTTGCAGGTCAGAGAACTTCAAAGTCCTATCCAGGGATCCTGCATTACAGACAAAAGTTAAAACATTTTGGTGAGATTTCTTATTGAATGGACAGTGGTTCTGACCAACCATATTTGTTAAGATTTCTAAATTTAAATACCTTATCAGTATTTGCTCAGGGTCAGGCGACTCCCGACTGTCAAGCCAACCATGTCATACCCACTGCCCAGAAATCCAGCCTCTTCTCAATTTTTGGGTAGATGTGAAGATGAAGTCTGAGTACCTAGATAAAAGACAATCTAACCTGACCACCTGACCTCACCTTACCTACTAACCTACTAACCAAGGTATATAAACCAGCCTTCGACCTATCACCCAGTAAATGAAAGGTCAGGAAGGCGTTCTGGAGAGGTAAATAGAGGGCACGTACTTAAGACCGCAACACGAATTTTGGCACTTTTAATAAATATTTCAAATTCTTGCAGATTTTAAATAATTAGATAATTATGTAAGCCAAACGTACGTTTTTAACTTGTATTGGTATTTTTTGTAATTCAAGGGCGCTCACAACTGCATGCCCCACGGCCACCTCTCCCGATCGGCGACCAAATTAAGTACCGTTAAATGTTGATATTTATTAGCTATAGTCGAGCCTTATGTGTCAAACCTAATGACTCTCCACGCCTATTTCAATATTTATAAGGCGATAGATAAATACCGTTGTATTCATTCCTCTTCCATGGTCATCGTAATTGGCGCGTTTGAGACAATATGTGAATTTTTTAGGTTTAATATTGATTGCGTCAAGAATTAATTTTAGCTTTAACGCAATTTGTTTTTGTTGTATGGTATAAAATGAAAATGAATTATGCATCGATGACAACAAAATATTAAATAAATATATAAATGGTAAAATTTGGTTATTGATTTTAATAATCGTCATCAAAATAGATTTCTCTTTTTCCAAATTTCAGCCATTTAAAACATAAATCCTTAAACAATACGCAAAAGAATAAAGTTTAATAAGAATTGACGTCATAAGATTAATGACGTCAATTTGTTAAAATTTGAATCAAAAATGGAGGAAGTTGTGTGATATTTGCTCATAAAAGTTTCTTTTACGTGCAAATGAAAATGCTATAATAAAAATTAGGAAAACCATCCAAAAAAAGGATAAAACGGCGTACTATGATACAATATGTTAAAAGCTCTTAATCCATTGGACAATTAATATGACGTCACAAAGCCGCAGTGGGATGGTAGCTCAAAATCGTTTCCCAAGCCGGCAGGCTGCCTACGTGTGATTTTTTGTTGATTCTTTGGAACCAAACAAGCCACGGGGCGGTCACCGCGTGTGAAGAGCATATATTTTATTAATATTGCTGCTTATTGCAATTGAAGAACTTGAGCTGAATAGAGTGAACCATGGTATGTATGTTATGTTTTTCTTAGGGTTCGGGTCGTTGAATGCCTAATGCTTAAATTTTGTCTCGCCTACTATAAACTGATGTAAACTAAATAAGCTTCATGTAGGTGTATGGTGGTTTTCATTTAAAGAACATCATGCCATTGGATAACTTAATTTAGAGATTGCTTATGTATATGCCAGTTAAACGCCTTTGGGGCGAAGAACGAGGAGCAAGATATTGAGCCCTGGATTGCGGAAGGGTGAGAGGGTACTTCCATCCGGCGCTCAAAGCACCCTTCTAATAGGTCACTAGTGGTGTGCCGAATTTGGACTCAATCGGCCCAGCAATTAATGAGATCTGGAAGCGGCATTCTGCATGTGCGCATGTTCCAATGAATGGGGTCCAAAGTGGCTTATGCACTGTACCCTATTAACCGGTCCCCAACTGTGTACCAAATTTGAGCGCAATCAGCCCAGCCATTCTCAAGATCTGGAAGCGCCCCCTGTGCTTGCACATGTGCAGTAGCACCCTAGCTGCAACACATGGACATGCATCGCCTGGTAGGTGCCTGCCTGTATGCCAAGTTTAAGTGAAATCGCCCCAGTAATTACCGAGTTATTGAAATGGGAACAAATTGGGGTCACTCACAGAGCTCAGGAGTATCCGACTTAGGTGAAGGGATGCAGCTACCCTACAAAAATTACTGCAAGATAATCGCCCAAGCAGCTGCGGATATATGAGCCTCTCAAGATCACTACTTTTGCAAACAGCTTAACTCACCTGTTTAACTCACCTGTTGGGTTTCCTCAGCCTTGCTCTTAGGAGAGGAGTGAGAAGGAGGGAAACCCAAGTCGTTCAGAGATGCGCCAATTCCAAAGAATGTAGTTGGACACAAGCTGGGGCCAGTGGGTGGGCCTTGAGTCAGGGAACTGGTGTTGGCGTCTGCATGTGAATTGTTGTGGAAACTCGACAAGTCTACCCTAGTTGGTGCTAATGCTTCACAAAGAAAGAAAGAGAAACGGTTGTGAATGCAAATGCTGCAATGCAAATGCTGTCTCATCCGCAAACAAAATGGGTGAATGACATGTTTGAACACCCTTGACTTTTCACGTGGCACATGCCACGACGTTCCCCTGAAATGTATCAAGAGTAGTCAATTACGGGGTAGAAGGAATAGGACTTTCCAACAAAAAGACCGCAGGACAATGGGTCCAGCAGTTGTTAGCAGCAGTTATTGAGATATAACGGTTACTGAGATATAATGCCTCTCCAAAGCGTTACAGGCTGGGTCGGGCCGCTCATACTGAGAATTTTCCGTAATATTGAAAAGAATTCGCTTCGCTCGCTCGTACTAACATAGGGGGAGCGTTCTGGTCTAGGGTTAGTTCCTCGCCTCTAAATTCAGCCATCTGGGTTTGATTCCCAGGCAATGCATTGCCACTGTCTGACCGCTTGGAAGTTGGAACAGCGTGGGAGTTCCGGAATCCGGTTAGTACCTTGGACCGGATATGGTACTTAACCCAAACCAACCAACTAGCATATAACATAGGCATACCCCATGTGTGTACATTTGCATTATGTATGTAACCTGTGTAATATGCACTATCTAATTTCATAGCCAACATTGGAACATGGGGTTTTCTGTGAACATGCTTGGTGCGGTGGACAACGGAGGACTGGCCTTGTGAAGCTATGTGTCCTACCCCAAGACTAGACAAGACAAAATTTTGTGAACATAGTTGTGCTGCACATTAGACCTGTATCACACATTCCGCAATCCCAAGTGTATCAGAAACCACTCGGATGCTGTTTAATTCTGAAGTTTTTGTTCTTTTTTGTTTCAGCTGGACATTGAGCAGATGAGCCGTTTTGTTTCGCCGGTGAACCCCTCCATCTTCCCGCATCTCACAACCCTGCTTCTGGGAATAGGCATCTTCTACACTGCCTGGTTCTTTGTGTATGAGGTGAGTAGCAAGGTGGCTTGCAGCTGGAGCTCTTTCCAACTGCATAGCATTATGTTGTTTTTATCTCTGTTTACACACAAAGTAAAAGCTACATTAAGAAGGATAATTACTTTCATTCATTAGGTCTATGATTTAGCACTGTATGAAAATATGGTAGTTCAGAATACAGTGTATGGTCAGTCCACAGCAGAAGTAATGCGGTTTCAGCCATGGGTATGTTCTGCTTCTGAAGCTTAGGAAGGATTAGCCAGACTACATTAAACTTTGAATGTAGCTTACGTGCATTGTCACCTTTGCAGCTGCAGCTTTATCTATTGACTTCTTCTTTTCGATCGCTCCGCATTAAAAAATCGCCAGTCAAAGCCATCCGTTGAGATTGGTAAAACCACACATTACTATAGCGGTGGGCTGTACCTGTATGGCGTAAGGAAGGGTTGATATACATTCCCTAATCCCTAGTATGGTGTATGCATGATATATAGTAGGTAGTATCGTTGTACGGTAGTCCGGTAGTAAGGCAGTACGGAAGTACGGTACCTAGTACTGAGTTTGGTAATGCGGTGTACGATAGTGCTTTGTGCGGTGCGGTAGTACGGTGTATGTAGTACTGTGTACGGTAAGGCGTACGGAAGTACAGTTTATGGGAGATCGGTGTACGGACATGAGGGCGATTTGTCGCGGTACGGTGTACGCAAGTATGCTGTACGGTAGAGCGGTGTACGGTGTACGGCAGTACGGTAGTACGGTACTATGGTACACGGTAGTACGGTGCAAGGTAGTACGGTGCACAGTAGTGCGATGTGCGGTAGTACGGTGCACGGTAGTACGTTGTACGATAGTGCGGTATACGGCAGTACGGTGCACGGTAGTGCGGTGTGCGGTATACGGTAGTACGGTGCATGGTAGTGCGGTGTACGGCAGTACGGGGCAGGATAGTGCGGTATACGGTAGTACGGTGTACGGCAGTACGGTACACGATAGTGCGGTATACGGTAGTACGGTGCACGGTAGGACATTGTACGGTTGCGCAGGGTACCGTCGCCAATTTGTTTTCGAAACGCCGTTAAAAGCATACCTATCATCGTAGCAGCACGTTGCACATGTTTTATTTCATATTTGTTAGGGGCATGCTATCAGGCAACGGTTTGCTATATGTTTGATGTTGTTTGCATTTTTGCAGCTTCATTTATTTATATTGACTTCTATTGGATTCGGTGTTGTATATTTTGCAGTTTGTTTTTCCCCATATAATCTTATTGTCCTCTGTCGCAATAATGTTCCTGGCCATTTTCTGCTGTCATTATTGCAGGGTGTTACAGGTCCAGCCACAAACTATTCTCCTAAGAAGAGTCGTGACGCTCACGTAATTTATTTTTTGTTTGAAATTCGCCTTACGCCTTGCATTATCTATTTGCTTTGCATGTGTGTGTGTGTGTGTGTGTGTGTGTGTGTGTGTGTGTGTGTGTGTGTGTGTGTGTGTGTGTGTGTGTGTGTGTGTGTGTGTGTGTGTGTGTGTGTGTGTGTGTGTGTGTGTGTGTGTGTGTGTGTGTGTGTGTGTGTGTGTGTGTGTGTGTGTGTGTGTGTGTGTGTGTGTGGTGTGTGTGTGTGTGGTGTGTGTGTGTGTGTGTGTGTGTGTGTGTGGTGTGTGTGTGTGTGGTGTGTGTGTGTGTGTGTGTGTGTGTGTGTGTGTGTGTGTGTGTGTGTGTGTGTGTGTGTGTGTGTGTGTGTGTGTGTGTGTGTGTGTGTGTGTGTGTGTGTGTGTGTGTGTGTGTGTGTGTGTGGTGTGTGTGTGTGTGTGTGTGTGTGTGTGTGTGTGTGTGGTGTGTGTGTGTGTGTGTGTGTGTGTGTGTGTGTGTGTGTGTGTGTGTGTGTGTGTGTGTGTGTGTGTGTGTGTGTGTGTGTGTGTGTGTGTGTGTGTGGTGTGTGTGTGTGTGTGTGTGTGTGTGTGTGTGTGTGTGTGTGTGTGTGTGTGTGTGTGTGTGTGTGTGTGTGTGTGTGTGTGGTGTGTGTGTGTGTGTGTGTGTGTGTGTGTGTGTGTGGTGTGTGTGTGTGTGTGTGTGTGTGTGTGTGTGTGTGTGTGTGTGTGTGTGGTGTGTGTGTGGTGTGTGTGTGTGTGTGTGTGTGTGTGTGTGTGTGTGTGTGGTGTGTGTGGTGTGTGTGTGTGTGTGTGTGTGTGTGTGTGTGTGTGTGGTGTGTGTGTGTGTTGTGTGGTGTGGTGTGGTGTGTGTTGGGTGCGTTTGTAAGACCAGCGTAGTGGTGCCCTTTGTCCGATACACCTACGCGAAGTGGTGCCCGTTTGCATAGTGGTGCCCGAAAATCGGGCACCACTATGCTGAGCATCACAACGCCTTCCTTATGTCGTAATATAACGTCTGTATAAATATCAGATGGGCCCCTTTTTACTGGATTTTGCCATAAAGAGTGTGACTCAAGGTCACGTGACTTCCCTCGCGTTCACACAAATCCGCCGGGCATTTCAGCTTTCTGCTGTGCCATATTGATGACGTATGAAAGAGATGGTACTTTGTGATGGAATGGGTAGGTATTTTGCATGTACAATTGCAAATATTTTGATGTTTTCGGTTTTGGGTGGCAGGTAGATTAAATAACAAATTCATACCTAGCGTTTTTAAATAGGTAGTAAATAGGCACCTTCAAATGACAACACGCCCATCCAGAAGTACTGGTGTCCAGCTCTATCAACTACCAGTCCGCCATTCGCGCGCTGGGCGGCTTCGATTTCGACGGTAAGATCTAGGCAATTGTCTATCAATAAAAATGCTAATTTGAATTGTTTTGAGTGTTAAATGTGCAGATGCCTTGTACTTAAAACCATTTATGTCTATCTCATGACTCAAAATGACGTTATCCCCACGGTTTCTTTGTTGCCCGCGTCGCTTTGGTCTCGGCAGTTGCTAAATACCTATAAAATGCCTGAAAATGCCTACCTATCGGCTTGAATGTTTTACTTATCATAAAAAGGTAACATCGAAAATATTTATTTGAATATTTATCTGGATGATATGAATATTACAAGAAAATAGTAAAACAAGAACTTAATATAAATACAATTGTCTTTTTACTCGTAAGAATGACTATTCTTCAAAAATGAGCCAAATGGCTGTTCCATTTTTTTGCAATTTGTTAAATCCTGGCGCAATTCATGTATTTTCTTTAGTAGTAGGTATTGTATCCAGATTTAGTGCCTGCTAACGTTTGAATCCAGCCTCAGGATTACATTTGTAAATTACCTAATATCTAGGTGAAATGCTTGGTGTTTGATATTGCACAAACGTTAGTCGCAAAGCAGGCGTCACACTCCTTTTTGCAACCGAGGAGAGGCGCTATACCCAGAGAGCTTTCTTATCAAGCCTAACCAAACCAAAAATAACTAAACCTAACCTAACCTTATCTACAACCTACAACCTAAAATCTACCACCTACAACCTGAAACCCACAACCTACATCCTAACCTACAGCACCTCCCCTTGGTTGCAAAAAAAACAAGCATGATGCCTGTTATACCTACTACCAGTGGTGGATCCAGGGAGGGGGGGGGCAAAATGGGCATTTTCCCCTCCCAAATGGCATAACTTTAACATTACGCCTATGGACGAGGCATGGAAAGAATCAATAAATTGTTATGGTTTGCCCCCCCCCAAAAAAAAAAACTGAGCTGGATCCACCACTGTATACTACTACCGCACAAACTTGCTTTTTTGGTCTTGGGCCAAAAGTAAGTTCTTGACCCACCAGTAGGTAAGTCACTTGGGCTTAGCGACAAGGACAAAAATGAACTTTGCTTTTGAGCATGGAAAAAGGTCACTTGGATTTTGGGGTCAAAAGCAGCCAGCCTTTGAACTTTGCGACAGGCTTTTATGGACTTGGGCAATTGTCGCCTTTGAACTTAGCAACAAGTCAGTTTTGGGGTTAGTGTCAAAATTTGCTTTTGGGCATAACGGAAAAGTCGCTTTTGGATTTTAGGGATTGAAGCAGCTTTTTGGCTTAGCGGCAAATAATTTTTTGACTTTATTTAGCAAATGTCATTTTTGAGTTCGCGAGAAGTTACATTTGGGTTTAGGGTCAAAAGTCGCTTTTGGATTTTAGGGTCTAAGGCAGTTTTTTGACTTAGCGACAAATAATTTCTTTACTTTGGATAAATTTCGCTGTTGAGCTTAGCGACTACTCGCTTTTGGGTTTTGAGTCAAATTTGCTCTTGGGCATAGCAGAAAAATAGCTGATGGGTTTTAGGGGCTGAAGCGGCTTTTCAGCTTAGCAAAAAAAATTGACTGTGGAAATGCCGCTTTTTGGCATAGCGACAAGTTACTTTTGAGTTTAGGATCAAAACTTGCTTTTGGACATAGAGGAAAAATAGCTTTGGATTTTAGTGACTAAAGCAGCTTGTGGGCTTAGCGACAAATAATTTTTGAACTCGGGACAAATTTCTCTTTTGACCTTACCTTAGTGAGAAGTCGCTTTTGGGGTTGGTGACAAGATTTGCTTTTACGCACAATGAGTCTTTTGGGTTTGGGGGGCAAAAACCCAACTTTTGGCTTTGAACGGGGTCTTTGTACATGGAAGATAATGTTCAGTGAAATGAATACCTATCTATGGTTTTTGTGTGAATAATGTAGGTCAGTTTTTACCAAAATATAAAATCTCCTCCAAAATAATCCAAAATAAGAAAATAAAGTACCTTGTTTATCACCCAAGTTTAACTGTGAGTCTGTGTTGCCAAGCCAAGTGCCATTGTATAGGTACCTGTTTACAAGGGCAGTTCCTAACTTGAATTTTTTTTTTTACTGATTCTGAATTGCATAGAACATATATCTTATCTTTTTTCTCCATCTTCAGAAGGTAATATTCTCAGTGCTAAGGCACCCATTGCCTATAGCATTTGTGTTGTGTGTAATTCACAGGTAATTATTGTGAAATAAATCTTGCAGACTGACTGTGTAGAACTTCAGTGGACTGGAACCAATCAGGACTCTGCTTTACCA